CGGCTGGCCCTCGAGGGGGGTCCAGCGCAAGCCAGGGCCTGACCCGGGCCGCCCCTTCCCCACAGGGCTCTTCGCACCTACCCCAGCAACTCAAATTCACCACCTCGGACTCCTGCGACCGCATCAAAGACGAATTTCAGCTACTGCAAGCTCAGTATCACAGGTGAGCTGGGAGGCCGAGGGTCCCTGCGTCCCGAGAAGGTGAGCCCCCCACCCCATTTCTTCTGCGCAGATGGCAAGGCCGAGGCCTGGAGGGGAGATTGGGAAAATAATGTATGCTAGACTCTGACCTAATACTTGACAAATACGGAATTCATTTTTTTTAAACAGCTGCGTTTTGTGGAGGACAAAACTGAGGCACAAAATAAGTTAAATAATTTGCCCAAAGACCCAGCTGTGTGGCTTCAGAGCCCCTCCCTCCTACCCAATCCCCCCAAGCCCCCCCTTGGATAAAAGACAATTGGAGTTAGGGCACGGACTCGCCGTCCCCCCAATCCCCAAAACAAACATTTTGCAGCCTGGTCATCTGTCTTTGCCCAGTTTTGGAGAAAGGGTTCCCAGCATCAGTCAGATTCTCCGAGGTGCTTCTTTCAGAAATCTCCTGGCGTTTCTGAAGAGCTTGCCATGCTGTGGTATCTAAGGGGAAGGAACTATTTAGTCCTTTTACACTTAAAGAAATTTAATCCCAGGCCTGGTGCCACCGGTGGCTCACGCCTGTAACCCCAGCACTTTGGGAGGCTGAGGCGGGTGGATCACTTGGGGTCAGGAGTTCGAGACCAGCCTGGGCAACATGGCGAAACCCCGTCTGTACTAAAAATACAAAATTAGCCGGGTGTGGTGGCAGACGCCTGTAATTCCAGCTACTTGGGTGGCTGAGGCAGGAAACTTGCTTGAACCTGGGAGGCGGAGGTTGCAGTGAGCAGAGATGGAACCACCACACTCCAGCCTGGGTAACAGAGAGAGACGGTGTCCGAAAAAAAACAAAAAAAAAAAAAGAAGAAGAAACTTAAGCCCAGAGAGGTTATTTCCTCGGGGATGTCCGTAGCGTTGAGGAAGTGGCAAGGCTGAGGTTTGCACCAGGTCTCCTGGTTTAAGGTTTAAGGATACAGGTTTTCACCTGCCCTACTCTGGAGGGGCACGCCGGGCCTGGGAATCTGGAGGAAGTCAGGCTACGCTCAAACCCCCGTTTGGCCTTGGGGCCCTCTCGAAACTGAAGTGTGCCCACCCCAGAAATGTTCCTGGGAGGATCCTGGATTTCCTCCAAGTAGAAAGGGGAATCTCAATTTTGTTGTTGCTATTGCAAATATCTAACCTTTTTGGGTACTCCCTGTGTGCTAAAGACCATACATGCCTCCTCAAGCTTCATCTTTCCTGTTGTCCGACTGTCGTACCCATTCTCAAGATGGGCAAACTGAGACATGAGACACTGACGGTCGAAGGCGCTGGAGTCGGCTTTCCACGCAGGCCCCAGAAGCTTTTGTTCGGGTCCCTCGATCTGAAGGGTTAGAGACCGCCTGGTGAGCCCTGGGGCTGACCTGATTCCACAGGGAAGGGATCAGATGGCGGTCACAGTGCTGTGTGACCTCTGCTAAGCCGGAAGCCCTCTCTGAACTTTGGGGTCTCTATCCGCTGGGCCTGCGCTTCCTGCTACCCAACGAGGGTCCCTGCCATACAAGGCACACACCGGATGTTTGAGGTATAACAGCCACTGGGTGGCCGGATCACCCTATTTTTCAAGAAAGGCCAGAAATCCAGGGTTTGAAGTGAAACTGTTTTTGTTGTTTTTGTTGTTTTGTTTTGAGACGGAGTCTTGCTCTGTCACCAGGCTGGAGTGCAGTGGCGCGATCTCGGCACACTGCAACTTCCACCTCCTGGGTTCAAGCGAATCTCCTGTTTCAGCCTCCCAAGTAGCTGGGATTACAGGCGTGCACCACCACACCTGGCTAATTTTTGTATTTGCAGTGGAAATGGGCTTTCTTTATGTTGGCCAGGCTGGTCTCGAACTCCTGACCTCAAGTGAACCACCCGCCTCGGCCTCCCAAAGTGCTGGGATTACAGGCGTGAGCCACT